AGCAGGGAAACTGCAGCAGGGAAAGGCTGTGTCCTGAATCCCCACAGACCTTTAGGGAACTGACACATTCCATGCCAGTGGCGCATGAGCCACCTCTCTTTCATTTGACTCCATCGGTCTTTATTACTATTTGAAGGACGGGATGCAGAAGCTTCAGAGCAGGGTCCCATCATGCTAGTTAAGTACAAACCCACAAAAAGAAACAGCTGCTGTGCATCAGTCCATGCATTTCGATGTGCAAGAGCAGACGAGCCCCCCAACCCCAAAGCAGGAAAGTCAGTGCTCTCCAGTAAATAGTTCCACAGCATTTACCCTGTATATCGGGTTTAAGGACACTGCTCACACGCACACTGGTTATATCAGCGTGAACAACTGCAGAATGACTTGGGAAAAACTGCAGAACTCACCATGTCAAAAATCATTATTCTTTATCAACTGGATCATGGCAGTACCCAGAGGCCCCGTTGAGGGCCCACAGTCCCATTGTGTCGGATACTGTAGACACATGTAATAAGAGAGATGGTCTATGCCCAAGGAGCTTATGATCTTAACCCATGATGAAAGACAACAGGTGTATACTACAGACCCATGGGGGAAGGATAAGGGAAAAGCAGCCTGGAGAATAAAAAGCAACAGGCCTGGCCAATGACAAGTGTTTGGTGTCAGAAGGAAGTTTTAAGGAGATTTGAAGGAGAACAATAAAGGAGCTTTATGGTTATTAACGGCAAGGTTTTTCCATGTGTAATGGCTAACTTGGAAGAGAACATAAAATTGCTTGTTAGGAAATTGGACTGCTGAAAAGTGAAGGTCTGTGCCACTGGCAAAGCAGAGGGAATATTGCAGAATGACCGAGGGGCCTGGTATCTGGTGTGCTCTCAGTCTAGAAACAACTGGGAAAGAGGCTCCCAGCTCCCTTCCAGTGCTTTAAAATTTACATTTCTAGTCCCAGTGAAGAGTATTATATGGCATTTTAATTTTTTCTCTAGTCCAGGCTTCAGTATTTTCTATCTTGTACTTCACAGCAGCATACCTTATGAAAAATATCTGAAGGTAAAGAAGAAAGTATTGGTATAGTTGCTTTTTTTAAAGGAACTTAAATGAAAGTCCACAGATTATTGGCTATAGGAAGTTTAATGTTATAAAAGTGTTATCTAAGTTGAGGCTTTGATGTCTGAATTACTCATAAGTATCAAAGCCACACATGAATTATGCAGGACATCCCCAAAATTATACCCATCTGTGAGTAGGTGGTGTTCCAACCCTGCTTCACATAAAATCTATGTGTGATGTGTAATGTCAAACTTAGCCCTTACAGAAGTTTGGCTTTACTGATAGCTGGGGCTGTATTAAAAACCTACACTTTTATCCCCGAGACACTGATGCAGGAACATCCCTACCCCTAGCTCCCCTCTACTCGAGATTCACACCCACTTCACTTATACCCTTCTGGAATTAAAGACTGCATCTGCCACAGTGAGTCATCAAGAGCTTACTCATCAGCTTTATGCAGGATTTTAACTCCTGCGAGCAGAACTGGTCAGAAGGATCCTGCATTTCTTGAGGTGTTCCTGGCACACGTTCTCCTCACGCGTACCACACTAATGCGGAACCTCTGGCAAGTTTTAGACATTATGACTTTTTTTTTTTTAAAAACTGTTTCACCTGTACTCTGCCAACCAGTTCAGCTTTACTTGAACTTTTGACATATCAATTTTTGAGTGTCATTTAAAAAAATAAATCAGCCTGCCATATGAATTTTTTTTTTTCATTCCCCAGATTGCATAATTTCACCAAAAGTACAGGATCCTATTCTGGACCTACAATGTATCTAACTCATTTATTTCCCAACCTTGCAGACGGAGAACTGGAAGACTTATATCATTAAAAAGAGAGGTGCTACGACTTTCCCGTGAAACACATGGCATTTGCCATTTTTACTAAAATGTCTTCAGTCAGCAAACTTTTAAAAGCTGCTTTTTTATACATCGAGAATAATATAGAAAGTAATGCTATTTTCAGTTTTCTTTACAAATAAGAATTTTTAGACGACTTTGAAGCATGATATAAACCTGGATATGATAAGAGTATTAACTCATCTCACCTCACTTGACGCTGCTACGATGGAGACATCAAGATCTAAACTACTTGTTCCTTAACGCAGAGAAATAGGAGCAATTTTAGGGCACAAATCATCTGACCTATTCTGGGCATCTACTTTAGGATAACATGACTCATGCTCTAAAGATGCTTAATTCTTCCTCGTGTATGAAGGGAGCCTATATTAGATGTAGACTTCTACATGACAGAGGTCTAGATAGGACTGGATGGATCCCACCTGCTGCGCTATACACGTGATTCAGCATTTCCCCAGAATGGCTGGTGAGGGCACTAAACTATTAATATAGCTGCACAAATTAATTCTCCAAAGAAAACTCATGTCATCTCAGCAACAAAAAGTTACTGAAAGTCATGATTATGAAACATTAGATTGCCTGGAAATAAACAAAATACTTGTGAAAACCTATTAGCCGTGTGATTCAGGTTAACTGGATTAACATCGGAAGCGCCTACAAGTTTAGAAGACTTGAGCTAGCGGAATGTATTTGCTTTCTCACTTCAGAAACTGTAGAAAAAATAGCAGTATTTATGACAAAAAAAAAATTACCTACAAGAATCCCAGAAGACAACATGAAAGGGCCCGTTCCCCAGTTCACCAAATTTTCAGACCAGAGGAGTGTAAAACATACAGTTTAGATGGAAAACCCCAAGAAAACATCAGCATCGGTGTCACCATACGATACACAGCCACAGCAGGGTATCTGACATGGATTTCTTATGGCATTATGGTATTCTGCCGCATACAGGAATTAGTGAACCTACGTTAAATAAGCATTGGCAGAATATGATCTTTGTGACCATCCTAGGGAGGGAGTTACCAGGTTACATGTTTTAAGATATCTTAATTTAATTACAAAAGTAACAATGCCATTATCGGTCAGATACAGTCGAGTGCATTGACACAGGTGTTGATACGGTCTTTTGGAATGCATGTCCTTGTTGGTGATACTTGAAGGTAGATAGGGTGATGTAAGTGTGAAAGCTGCCAAATGTTTAAAATTTCTCCGATGCATGTACTTGTACATGGCTTGTATCTGCTGTTTTTAGTAATGAATTGGTTGTCCATGATGT